CTGCAGACTATACTGACTAATTTCCAATGTCCTAACCTCTAAGCTACTAGATCGAGCGTAGATGACAGAGAAGCCAAATATGTGTCTATGTGTCTATTTGTACAATACCTAGCACTTCGACTATTCAATAGGTAATATCATGGGACTTGGACACTCTCCAGTCTTCATAATTATTACATATAATTTGTTTGTGCTTGGATCAATAACACAGCGCACCTGAATCGGAAGCCACTGGTGTTTAAGACCCAGACTGACAGGAACTGCGCCATTCTTTGACATGGCTGATGGAACATGGACGAAATTTTGCTATGGTTCGTAATGGCTTCTACAGAAACAAAGCGTCGAAGATAGTTACTGGTTATCAATGATCCTAGCAGCATTGAGTGTTGGCGGAAAGATTTCTTGGCAAACTTCGTTCACTTTCTCCAATAAGAAGGAAAATACGCCCATGATCTAGACGGGATAGTTTATTAATAGTCGAAGCAGTGCAGAGATGAGATCAGTTCTGATTTCAAAGCATAATAGGATGTGCGCTTTTTGAAAATAGCCACCTAGCGGAGATATTATCTATTAAGGGTGAAAACAATATTTTCTTTGCTAAAATTCATAACAAAATTCTGCTATTGCATAAAACAGTGTTTCTCAACCTTTTTAAGAAACGGCACATCGAGAAGCAAATGAAAATATCACGGAACACTGAGCAAAAATTTTAAAAAGTATACATTTAAATATTATGATATAAAACCATGGATTTAAAAAACAATACACACACACAAATATAAACTTACTTTATTTCAATGTTTCTATTGAATTATTTGTGCAGCTTATTTAATGTGGCTGGTGTTTTTTCACGATTTCTTCAATGTTTGGTCGTTATTTGCGTTAAGCAAAACTTTATTTCTTCTTTAGTTGAGCGTAGTCTTTCTCGCTTATTATTATTATATAATCAGTTTGGAGTGGAACTATTGGAAATACTTGGCAATAGGATCAGCTGACATATAAAAGTCTGTGATAAAAAAGCATTCAATAAATATATTTTTTCATAGAAAAATCCCCCACTTTGTAAATTTACTTAACGTTTCTTCATGTATATCACAGATAAAACAGATCAAAATTCCCCAAACTATGAATCCAGCCTCGTATATTTAAGCAAAAAACAAATAAAAAGGTATTGTTAAAATTTGTATTACCCCAATTGTATATACAATTTTCATGACTTAAATTTTTGTAATTAAAAGCAACTGTTAATAATTAGTATAAAACGGATTTCTGTAACTTTTCTTATTTTGTATATCTTTAAACGTCTTTAGTTTACTTCTTATTCACTCAAAAGTCGAGAAAAGTGGATGTTAGTCAAATCACTTCCTTCTCATAGCAGTTATTAGCAACTAAAATAAGCAGTTAAATTTTGTTTTTATATAAAAGCATACATATTTTTTTGCGAAGTAAAGGTAATTATTTTACACAGCAATGAGTATTTTGTATTTTTCCTCTTTCAATGAAGATATATTTTTCAGCTTTTGTAACATTGACAAAGACAAACTTACAAAAATCGAATCATTATTAGAGGGATGAGCGCGAACGGAGACGCCATATTACTATTATTAAGTTGCAGTTGGAAATAACAATTGGTTTATTCAAGTTAGAATTTTGCTGGAATATTCCAAAGAAAAGTCACTTTCCGACGTTCCGTTTTTGCTATATTACTCTAAGAAAGAAAAAGACCGACATGTAGAAATCGGATGATTATAATACCTATCTTTTGTAGTTATTTGTATCCCTACTTAATTGTTTACTCATTTCCTTATCTCCCTAGAAGACATAAGACTTATGTAAACTACTTATATAATTAGGATAAAACCAATTTCTGCAACTTTTCTTATTTTGTATATCTTTAAACGTTTTTACTTTACTTCTGACTCATTCAAAGGTCGATAAAAGCGGATGTTAGTCAAACGACTTCCGGTTTACAGCATTTATGAGCAATTGAAATTGTATCACTAAATCATTATTATCATAAAAAATTCTTACAATCTAAATATATTTTCTGGCTTTAAATAACCTGTAACGCATTGATAAGTCGTAGAAAACTAATCAATCAATAAAAAAAAAATCAGCACGAGCGCCAAACAGGGAGGGGTTATTACTCCAATCATTCCTCCTCATTTGGCCACGTTCCATAGAAATTGTAATGACAAAAGTACGCAGGTGTAGACTTTAAAAAAAGCTTTATTCAAGTGAGACAACAAGGTTCGCGTATAGTGTCCTTTTATAGTCCCAGTAAACAGAAATAGCCCTCCCAAAGAGGAGAGTAACAGAACAAGGGGAGACCACTCTTGATTATTCATAACAGAATTTTTTTTTTCAATCTTTCAAAAAGTGAAATGTTTCTCACTTTAAAAATCAGCATTTGAGATGCCAACCTTTACCTGGACTCGAATGCTAACTACCGGCGACGTAAGAATTAGTCGTCTACCTCTTCTATTAAGCATTTATCTTTCTTACCTTCTTTTCTATCATATACGCAAACCTTTCTCTTTCTCTCTCTTTCACTCTCTCGCTTTCTCTCTCTCTCTCTCTTTCTCTTTTTTTTCTCCGCCGTTACACACATTGTCCTTACAATATTCTAAACGTCTTTCTTTCATCTGTGTTCCCAGTGCTCGCCACCCTTAATCAATTAATTTCATCTTTTAATTCCTAACTTCTGAATACATCAGTATGTTGATACACCGTCTTATTTGTACCTAACAAACCCTCGCCATTTCCATCAATAATATTCTCCCTTAACTTTCTCGCTGTTATTAACCGCCTGATTTGAATTCTGCTCTAACAATAAACGATATTAAACTGCGAACTTCACTTCTTAAGCGTTTTTTTTTTTAAATAATTTTTAATTTTATTCACTGTTTTCTTATTATTTTTTTTTAATATGCGTCTCCTGTACCGAATATTTCCTTTTCTTAATACGTGTTTCTTTTGAGGGTTCCTCCCGTGCCGGATCGATAAAGAAAAAGAGGTTATCACTAGATGGTAATGAACATGACCCTTCACATACAAAAAGAAAGAGACTGTTAGATTAAACTGACCCCATTAAAGTATTACAGATCAGAAATGCGTGCAGATATTTTCATTTGAAGTTCTCTTCGTTTTTTGTTTCTTTTTTTTTTTTAATTTTCTTCCTTCTCTTTTCTTCCTTTTCCCTCTCTTTTATTTTTTCTCTGTCCTTTCTTTATGACATTATTCTCACTATGCATTATCATATACTCATTATTAATGTGGTTATTACAAGCAGCTAAACGTTGAAAGAACTTTAAACAGATCCTTTTCAACTGCTTCATATTTATTTTGATATTACTCAAAAGGCTTTGAAGTAAAAGCAGTAAGTAAAGTATATAAAGGCGGAAATACTAACAACAAAAAAATAATGTTAACATTGGCTGAAATATGATCACGGTCAAAATGATATCTTATGGTGATAATGCTAGTAACACTTATTGTAGTTGTTGTTATTAATGTGATGTCAATAACTTGAAAACGATCAGAAATGCTTCTCTTAATAGAAAAGGTGCACTTTGAAGTTAAAACAATGATGAAATAATTGCTCGCATAACAATAACAAACATGGCAATAATAAAAGGTTGTGATTATCATCATCTCCATGATAAGATTGAGAAAAAAGTGAAATTGATCTTTGAAGACTTACAATGTCCACATTAAAAGCTTTCAAATTAAAAAATATATAACAATCAATAACTGCATAAATCGCCATCTTGCATACCACAAATAATTTGAACAATTATTAGTCTTATTCGGAAAACAGGGGAAAGAATAAAGTAGGAGAAGGAAGGCATAAACAAGACGTTATAGTGATCACCATCATCATCATCATCATCATCATCATCATCATCATCATCACCGTTATGGTCATTCTTATTATTTTGTAAGAAAATATAGGATAAGCTGCGCTGTAGGGTAGTTTCGCCCAACACCACAAGATGCTACAAAACCAAAACATTAACCCTTAAATCATTAACCCTTATCAGATATAACCCTTATTAACCTTAACCCTTATCAGATATAAACCTTCATGTGAATATCATTCATCGGGTTCATAAATGCCTAAACTATTGGCTTTATAGCAATGATTGGAAATGGTTTCAAACTAATGAAACTTTGTGGATTTTGAAGTGGACTGTCCTTTGTCGGACATCGTAGACTGGCGCTACAGAATTTCAAAGAACACCAAATAACAGAAACCACATCACTTGAAGACCTTCAACAGCAGTAACAAATAAAATGGGTAGAACATGTAACTCAAAGAGAATATAATAGAATCTCTATAAATAAATGTGAATGTCAGTGTGTTACATTTTTTGCAACTTTACTCCGTAGCCCAACATATCAAATCATTTTAGAATCAGGCCTACTTCGTGAGTAAATTAAAAACATTTCAGAACGGATCCGGACCCACAATCCTGAAATTTGGGATTCCAAGTTTTCATTACTGCCATTGTTTTCGTCGACGAATTTTTTGTACGATAACAATTTTTGTAACTTGGAAATAAATTTGAGAATAATTTAAATTAATACGAAATCCAGCGAAAGTCATCCATTAAATAAAAATAATTTTTTGCGCGTAAAGTAAGGACCTACGTACATCAAATTTTCTTTAAATTAAGTGGTAGCTGAAGAACTACCGTTGAACTTCTAAAAGGTAAGCTTAAATATTAATGCAGCGATCAATTTTAAGTTCTGTAGTTTATTGTTGAATATCGCATACGGCAGCAATATGCCTCGCAAAAAGAAATATTCGCCAATAGTGAAGCAGATTGCAATAAAAAAAAAATAAATAAATAAAGACAAGTCCTGCGGGGAGGGAAAGAAATTTCCGTTCAAATGAAAACCCAGATCAAACGGCAGCAAGGAAAGCTTCCAATCCTGAGAATATTTAAAGACTTAGAAACTCTCAAACTCCTGAAGAAGCCGATAGCACAATTAAGATCTCTCCGCAGCAGCTAGCTTAAACACCGCCCGATAGGGTGGCTTTTAAGCTAGTAATCAATATGTTGATATTCCATGCTACTTAGAACAAAATGTTAGCAAATAAAACCCAATAGATACTAGAAAATGCAGTAACAGTGGACTTGAGAAATATTTTTGGAAAAACTGTTTTAAAAAAAAGATTTTATAATTTTCAGCTGACAATAATTTTAACGTTTCGTTCAATGAATGCCGAATGTTTCCTTATAAGGAAACGGCTAATATCGTCATTATTATTAAAATTATTAAAATCTTCACTCATTAATGCATTCCCACCAATAGCAGCAAGCGATGTGTACTGGAGATTAAGTGGCAGCAAGTCTCTTTAATATTTCATTGCTCTTTTTATTCAAGATTATTTCAGTAATGCTATTGTGTAAATGGTCCCCCCCCATCCTTCCTCTGATGTCTAACTATTATTCGGAACCGTTCTCCTACACCCCAATAATTGCTGATACAGCGGCCACTGTCATTTTCCAAAATTTCTTCAGCTCCCAAGCATGGTTGATGTTATTATTATTATTATTGATATAGCAGTACGCCACAAATGTGACATTAGGTGACAAATATATATATATTAATATACACTTAATGACATTTAGTTTCCCAAGTCTATACCAGGTACATGCAAAATAGCCAAAATCTGCGCAATATGAGGATAGATTTTGATAAAAACATCACATAACTTTGTAACTAGTTAGAATTTCCATTAGGTCTATAAATCTAATTCGCTCAGTCTACAATTGATTTGTTTAACGGCACATCAAGTCATTATGAGCCATTTAATGCCTAAATGTAATTTTCTTCTGAGCTTTAATGTAATACAAATATGACATCTGTTATTCTGTTTTCACAGTTGGATACATGGTAGATGATACTCAGCTTTTGTGCATATACATGTTTGTGTTGACATGATTACTAAAGACGGTGATATGTGTGTTTTATGTTGAAGTTATATTTTGGAATACAGTTTGATTTAAGAAACGTTCGGATATTATATGGATTAATGTAATGAAAGAATTCTTTCGTGTTGGTTGGTTGATTTTGTTTAGCGACATATCAACCTCTATGGGTTATTTAATGCCGAAATGAACGCATTTGTATTCCTTCAACTACAGATAAAATGTATCGCTAGTCCTTTTGTATATAAAAATGTATTGCTGGTATTTTTACTAAAAAATGTTTTTTATACTTTCATAGCGTGTGTTTGGAAGTTTTATATCTGTCAATAGCTGGGACCCTAACAGGTGCTACCACTCCGGTTCAGAAGTTGTTTCACACTCCTCAAAACCTCCAATCTCCCGGAATGTAGTTTATCGTCATATCCAAGACTTGTTTCCAGTTGTGGTTATCTCCATGTCTCTAGACGTGACTCCAAAGTCATCTTGCTTGCTTCATTTTTCAAACAACCGTCTTGACGCTTTGATCATGACGCTCCTCAACTACTGCTTATGAACACACCGTAAGAGATATGCCCAGTTGATTACAATCACTTAAATGAAAAAGAAATATAAGATACTAAACGGGATAATTACCCGTCCTGGGTATGACGATAAATTACATCCAACAGCAAGGCCTCTGATCAGGATTTTTTGAGGGGCGTGGAACAACCTCTTAATTGCTGGTGTTCCGAGGTCCACCCTGGTAGCGCCTGTTAGTATCCCAAATATTGGCAAATACTTAAGCCCTAAACTAGGGTCTAAAATTATGAAAGTCTAAAAATAGGTTTTAATAATAGCAATAATTTTTTTGAGGAAAATTTATTGCCAGCAATACATTTTTGAAGAAAATAAATATTACCACCAATACATTTCTGAAGAATAACAAATGTATTACCAGCAATACATTTTCAATAAAAAATATTACCAGCAATACATTTTCAATAAAAAATATTACCAGCAATACATTTTTGAAGGAAAATATTACTAGCAATACATTTTTGTAAATAATTATTACTAGCAATACATTATTATCAGCAATATATTTTTGAAAGAAACAATATTAGCAGCAATGTATTTTTAATATTTCCAGCAATACATTTTTGAAGGAGAAAAATATTACCAGCAATGCACTTTTGTAAATAATTCTTACCACCAATACATTATTACTAACAATACATTTTTGAAGGAAAAAAATATTACCAGCAATACATTTTTGGAAAAAAATATTACCAGCAATGAAAATTTTGTCGGCGTTAAATAACCCATTGAAGTTGATTATGCTGTAAAAAAAAAATCCTACCAAACGAGATATTTACCATAGAGCAACTAAGGACAAAATAATAATGTTAACTCCTTCAATCAGTTAAAGTCAGAAGCCATGAGAGACACTGTTATTATTACTAAAATGATGTCTCTCTCATATAACAGTGTTTTAATATTGAGAATATATTTTTGATATTATAAGAAATGCCAGTTTTTGTTATTTTTGTCATCCACATTTTAGCTGTCCAATCAGCCACTTGTTCATCTAAACAGGTACTGGGTTTTATATGCATAGTAATTATATTTCGGATCAATATTCGCCTGGACTTCTTTTTCAAGAAAAGAAAAGATCTTAAACATTGAAACACTTTTAACTAACGGAGTATGTGTCGTTGAAGCATTTGCCATCACTTCAAAAACACTTGATAAACAAACTGAAATAATTAAATATTCACGCATCAGTCTAAAGGGGCCCAAAATGCTGGAAAAATTAAACTTGTCAGTTGATATTCAGAAATGGTCGCCAAAAATCACTGCACTAAATGCAATACTACTACTACTAATAATTTTTGAAGAACATTTGAGGAAAGATGAAATAAGACAGGAAAGATATGGAATGGCTATAAATGACAAAGAAATACTTACATCAAGAGTGGAAGTAGGAAATAATTGTCATTCAAATGAAAATATGAAAGTGATGAGGAAGAAAGTAAACTGGAAAGCTCCCAGTCTTGATTATGTACAAGGATATTGGCTTAAGAGATTCAAAAGTATTCGTTAAAATCTAAGAGAGAACATACAGTATTGTGTGGGTAATCGTAGTTCCAGGGTGGATGACTGTTAGTGGGACGGTAGAAAGACAAGGCCAAAGGAAGACTAGCAACTAAGTATCGACCAATAACATGCCTGCCATCAGTTTGGAAATTGATGGCGGTTATCATAGCAAAGGAGATTTATGTTTATTTGAAGACTCAGTATTATATTTTGATCATTTAGTTTTGCTTCAAGAGTGTTCCTTATAAGTCTGAAATACCATAACTTTTTATTTCGTTTCTGTATGTTTCACCAGGTTTGCCTGTAAAATGTCAAGATGCTTATAGTTCTCTCCCTCTTTCAACGATTTCATGACTTCTTCATTCGATAATTGTTTTCCTTGAACTAAGCTATGTTTCTTCTGATATTTAGAGTGACACATTTCTCATTGCCAAATTCCATCCCAATATTTTCACTGAACACACGAACCGTCTGAATCAAAGAATCAGTTTTCACTCCTGGCATACCATTTCAAGTCATTCATTACTTTCGGCACTGCGTAGATGGTGGGTCAGACATATAACAAAGATAAAAGGCGAAAGTGGGTCCGCTTGGAAAATACCTCTTTCCATGTCTCCTTTTCTCAGTGACTCATCACCAAATATCAGTTTCGCATTCCATGATCGCATACTGTCTTCCAAAAACGAGTTTATTTCATTTGAAACTTTCAGCATGTCAAGGCACTTTATCCAGGAATGTAGCACCATATCATAGCCTTTCTTGTAGTCTATCCATATCTTGAATAGATATTTATTAGATATATCTCAAACAAAAAAGTAAATATCTACCACATGTGGAGTGCCGCTCCAGCTTATCGTAGACAACAGACAAAATTAAACAAGAGCAGGGAATAAAGAAATAGCAAACGTCTGCAGAAGATTTTCTAACATTGTGAACTGTAAAGGTAATGATAGTATCAATAATCACTCGGAGACTAGGAACCGTCCCAAATATTCCTGTAAAATTATTTTTATTCAAAAACTTAAAATATATGGACCTTGCCAAGGAAATGATATGTCTATCTTTTTTTATTATCTCCTGTAAACTAAACTGATTTTGCCTTGTTAGGGCCAGAAATAAAGACACAAGAGAGGAATTGAATTAAACAAATATATTAACAGAAACAGTAATACTAAAAAATATACAAACGTGAATGTTACAGCAAGAATGTTCGGTCCGACTGTCAGAGCTGACTGCGAAAAAATTGCCTCTCCAAAAGGCAGTACCTGCTCCTATTTATAGTTGAGAGAGTCCATGCGTGTGTGGGTAAATTACCATAACATAAACTTATATCTATATCTTTATTTTTACTCCAATGCAATTTATCCATATAGATAGATAGATAGATAGATAGATATCAGCTTAAAATAAAGCTCACGGCATACTTACCGTAATACAAAAACCCTTTTCCATACAAACCATTCTTAAGGGTTATTTATCGCTAGTTCCTCCTGTTTTGGTATATGCTTCGTGTGTGTGGTCGCCTTACAATCTATCTATCTATCTATCTATCTATCTATCTATCTATCTATGGCTATTTGTTTATCTATGTCTGTATATCTATGAATATATGCCTGTATATCTCTATTTATCTATCGATCTATGGCTATTTGTTTATCTATGTATATCTATGAATATATGTCTGTACGTTTCTTTCTATCTATCTATCTCTGGCTATTTGTTTATGTATATCTATGAATATATGTCTGTACGTTTCTTTCTATCTATCTATCTATCTATCTATCTATCTATCTATCTATCTCAGTGTAGTTATAATCTATCTAACTATCATAAGAAAGAATCCTGTATTAAATATCCCGAAAAAGGTTGATATGCCATAAATCAAAACAAACCAAACAAAAAATCAGAATAAGAATTCAATTGATGTCAGGAGACAATCTGGGCACTGTAAAAAAGAAAAAAAAAAGACGGTATATGTGTTAATATAGAAGTTCTAGAAAATCAAAGGTTAAAATTAAAATTTCGAAAAATATATGAACTTTGCCAGAGAACAAAAAAAAAATAGAAGAATATGTTACGCTAAACTTCCAAACGGAGTGCTTGTACTGTTTTGAAAATTGGCATCTGAAATCCTGGATTTTTAACTTGATTCGAACACCGGTGGGAAATATGAAAACTCTAACACATGAAAGAAGCCCTAGAACAATGATTTATTACATAGTTCTAGTTTAAGAACATTATGGGATCATTTTCGACTTACAAACGCCATCTGGGACCAATTATGTTTGTAAGTGGAGTGGCCGGTGCAACGCTGTTAATAGTCTCTGAATGTGTGCCGGGTGCAAAAATCCAAATCCATTAAGTACATGATTTTTCAGACTCGTTTTCTTTTTTCAGGGAAGAAGCACTCTTTGTTTAGCATTAATATTGGCAAGTCGCCCATTATCAAGTCTGTTTAAGCTAAATCCGCATTTGTAGGCGGTGAAAAGCGCATGCGCAGAATTGCCTTTCATTCCTCATCAAAGAACGCGCAAAACCTGTTTTATGAGCTGATGCCGATAACTGTTCGAAGACTATGATTTTTTTAATTTTTTTTTTTTTTTGTTACTGTGGTTAAAGGAATAAAAAATGGAGAAAGAAAGAAATAGAAAGTGTTGCAATAGTTTTATTCTTTTGATTAAATAAAAAATATAAAAATGAGAAGAGAGAGCATGAGGTTAACTTGAAGAGAACCTAAAAGTGCAACATGCACCTGTGAAGATATTTTTTAAGGAAAAGTGGGGTGAACTCAAAAGAAAGTAGAAAGGAATCTTTTGGAGGAAATTATTTCAATGATAAAAGTGATTTCTACAAAGGAAAGGTTATTTTTATGTGTGCCAGTACAAGTTTTTTTTTAGTTTATAATGTTCTAATGTACTTCTTCTTCACCAACATTATTATTATTATTATTATTATTATTGTTGTTGTTGTTGTTGTTGTTGTTGTTGTTGTTGTTGTTGTTGTTATTATTCCGGCAATTTCTTTATCGTTTCAGGAATTCAGAAAAGTAATTAAAACAAAAACAATAATAATTTTACCGCCGTCTCATTGAATTAAGAAAATAAAATTAAAAAATAAAATTTTAATTTTTCTTTCTTTCAAAAACATCGTTTTGACGCCGTTATGACTTTTTAAAACTTATTCATTGATTTTTTTTTTCTTTTAAGTTTTAATGACGTTTTTTAATGGCAAAATATTTCGCATGAGGAGTTCATTTCGTGGTGATGAATTCATAATTAAAATAAGGGAGCTGAGTAAAAATAAAAAAAAGTACTGTTTAAATAACCTTTTTTGCCTTAACAGACAACTCAAACCATTCATCCGTCTGCTGTCTTTCATCCGACATAATTTCATTGAATTGAAAAAAACACAATTTAGAATTTCTTCCAAATAACACCAAGAAGGCATACAAATCTACTTCTAAAACTTTACACTGAAAAGCAAAGTTTAGGAGTGGATTTTTTTTCCTATTCAAATCATTATTTGTTTTTTCCTTTCGATATTGCCTCAGTTTTTCTTTCAGTAAATAAGTCCTCATGCAAATAAAAAGACTTCTTTTATTCACTTCCGGGAATTACATATGTTAGGCAACTACCTGACTGTGAACAAAACACACACACATATAACCACATAAGATAACGTTTGTGTCCTCGATTTTGCAAATATGTAAATCAGTTTCAGTGAATTCCTCTTCAGCCCGGGTGGAGTAGAGAACCACACCATATGACATGAGAGGAAGAATAATGGACCGATCGAACGGATCTATTTTAGGGATGAAAAGTCTCAGGCCTCTAAAAAGAAATATAAATGGAGTCGGAAGCGAAAAATCCAGTAGACGTACCCGCTTCAAAAGTATTCGTCATTAGTCTGCTAGTCCAAAACTAGAGATGAAAGTTCAACAGACTCCCCCATATATATATATATATATATATATATATATTTGTATGCAAATTCTCTCTTTTTCACACACATACATACAGACTTATTCAAACTCAGACATTTGAAAAAACATTTTTTCCTTATAAACTTACATGAACTTTTTCTTTCTTTCTATGTGCCGTGTCCTTTCAGGACGTAGGCGATCATGGCTCTCCACCTCTCTCTATCCCTTGCAGTTCCTTCCCTCTGATTCTTTCCCCAGACAACGTTCTGTCATTCAATTGCTTAAAGCCGCTAGGTATGTCATGCGTTACATTTCTTATACCTCAACTGTTTTGTTTAATATAATTTTTTTTTCTTGCATATATGATTATCTTTATTATTTTTTGGCATATATAATTATCTTTATTATACTTTTAATCCCTGCATGCGTTGAATTATTTTGAATGATAAAAATTTAAACGGATCTCCACATAAAAATTAACTTCGGGTTCTCGATGGGGTCATTTCTCCAGCAAGTTTTATTTCTCTCTCTCTCTTTCTCTCTATCTCTCTCTCTCTCTCTCTCTCTCTCTCTCTCTATTCTTTTAAACGTTTCTTTTTTATTTTTGATAACGTTATATAGTTTTAGTTTGATAGTTTGAGATCAACAAACCCTTTTGATAAGCATCGTCCGAAAAGTTGACAACATAAAAAGAATTAAATTTTGAATAAAGAAATTTTCAGCGTTGTTCTATATTTGCTTTGTTCTATGAAAAAAATTCATTCAAATATACTTCATCTTAAAATTATGTAAGCAAATTAGATTAGATTTTACAACATGCCATACTTTATCATCATTGTATGAAGCGCCTTATAAGAATGGAACTGACAATTTAGTCGTAATAGTCAACCAGACTAGCCTCGTTAACCATTACCTTGAGCAGGGCTACCTGATTATAACAGTGACTTTAATTATGCCTATCAGTGATTTCATATTCGCAATCAACCTAAGAAATAGACCATACACTTGTTTTACTTAACATTACCGCTGTTGTTGACGCATATGTACATTTTTACGAAACATACATTGCCTTGTCGACGTATATATCTACATTTTCAAGAGATATTTATGCATCTTTACAAAAATAACATTGTCTACTGTGGAAATATATATATATATATATATATATGTGTGTGTGTGTGTGTGTGTGTGTGTGTGTGTGTATTTTGAAGACACCGGATAATGTCACTCGATAGCGGTTATGTTATAAACTAACTAGCGCTTAATGCTACTTCCACGGAAATGTTGACAAAGCGTAAAATACAATCTATTTTGCTACGTACTTTTATTATATTGTGTGAGGGACTCGTTTAGCATAGTCTGTACAGCGTAGCATGCTATGAAAACCAAAATGGCGGCGACTATAGAAACTCGCCATTAAGGATTTTATAGTATTTTATTTCCAGTAAATGGCTATTTCTTACCTTTTCCCCAAACGAGCCAGCATAGCCAGATAACAATTCTATAATAACGCAACAGCGAAAGAGTTTTCGTAATTATCACAGGTATATGGTAGTAATTCGGATATCCCAACGAGAAGCTGAAAAGTGTTTCTTTTAAGAAAAATTTGTAAAATGTACAACTAGGAAAATTGTTTCACTGTGTCGTGCTAGACAATTCTTTTTGCCAGAATCTATCTCATATATTTCTAAATCTACCATCCGTCTCCGCTTTGAATATTGCTGCCACATATCGTTTGATATATATATATATATATATACATATATATATATATATATATATATATATATATATATATTAAGACATTTTTATGTTTAACATTCTTTTTTATAGATACAAATATTTAAGTAAATGTTTGTTTATTAAACAGTATTAAACAACATTTACCGGCCTGAATGTCCGAGAAATTTTCACAGAAACTATTCAGGCCGGTAAATGTTGTTTAATACTGTTTATAGTAAACAGAGCATTTACTTAAATATTTGTATGTATAAAAGAATGTATAAACGTAAAAATGTCTTTAAATAATTGTTGACTTTGTCCATTTCATAATATATATGATATAATAATATATGATATATATATATATATATATATATATATATATATATATATATATATATATATATATATTCTGCTACCTTGTAACTTCAAAAACAAATCCACCTCGTATGTCACCTCAAAAAAAGTCCCTGCCCCCTACTTCGAGACGCAACAGAAATTATGATGACCTCAAGGTTAGTAAAATTGTTTCAAGAAACACAAGACTAGGATACGGCACGATGTCGTGGACTTCTCTGCACTTTAGGAGACGAGGATTTTCATTTTAAAAGTAAATATATCTGCTCCTTAAATTTATTTTTTTTAATAATCAGACTCAATTTTTTTTATTTTAAAAATCATATGAAATTGTTTTTTTTGTTTTGTTTTTTGTTTTTTTTGGTGGGTTATGTTTTTGTTTGGGGAGGTGTTACAGTATGGTAAGCTTAAAATAAGCGATGATAAGGTGCAGATGTGTGGCTAGCGTAAAGACGAATTCATGTTCCGGCTTAAATTATTGTGTTAAGTTTCACACTATGAGTTTGAGAAAAGCATTAATCTATGACGCCACCTCTAAGCTATGGGTTAAGTAGTTCATTGCATAATGTTTGAGCTACATGATTAATATTCACTAGTGAAATAAGTGCATTAACAGGAAAGAATTGATTCGTTTTCTACGGCTTATCAACCATTTGCAGGTTATTTAAAGCCAGAAAATATTTTTAGATTGTAAGACTTTTTGAGATAATAATGATTTACTGATTTAAATCTTACTAATTAACTGGGGAAGAAGAAATGGATTCATACCTTTCCCAAGGGTATTAGTGCGAACTTAACTGAAATTGAAACTCGGCTCCGCGATAGCCAATTCCGAGCCGTTATCCATTACACAACCCGCTCATCCAAACTTACAGAACCTGGTATTCTCAAGCAGTCACCCACCTAGGTACTGACAAAACTCAACGTTGCTTAACTTTGGGGGTCGTACAGGAACTGGTGTTTCAACGTTATGTGGTCGTAAGCTAACAAGAAAGATCATTTTGAAAAGTCGATAAAATCAATGCGTTTTGCATCGTTACGCTACGGTAATATTCAGTAATATTCAGATGTTAAGGAAGATTGATTTGTTTAAACATTTAAAAATTATTATGGGATTGTTAATCTAGATATAGAATTTCCGAAGTCGTCTGGAGGTCGTAGTTGAAGCCAAAGGCGATTTTATTGAATAAATTATTTTAAATAATTTTCTGTAATTTTGGTAAATATATCTGTTAAAATGAGATGTTAGTGTTATTTTCATTTTTCATTTTGTTATTGTGCTTTTTTTAACCATATTTTATTGTTAAAGTATAATAGTGATTTTCTAAAATGTTTCATTATATGCAATTCTTCTTTTAATGTTTATGTGTTATTTAGCTAAATCTAACACTTTATTTAATATTTTTTATTTTTTTTTAATATATTTTCGGTATTTGATGAATAAAAATCTTTGATGCCTACTTGTATAAATGTGCGTTTATTTTTGTTTGTAACATTGTTAAACCAATTGATAGTTTTTTTTGTATTCTTCCAATATTTTTTTTCATTTTGAAAATATTTTATCTATTATTTATTTGCTATTTTACCTATATGACTTATTCTAGCATTTAATAATGTACAGATAGGCTTATTTAAAAAATATTTTTATGATCTTTTAGTTTAATAAATGGATCTACTTTGGTTAACTATTTTGTTGTTATCTAATATTAATCTTGTTGTTATAATTTTTACTCTTTTATTTATATTATATTCTGATTCATTGTTAGTTGTTTTATAAAATTAAGTACCTATTTTTCGATTAGTTTATTATAATTAATCGGATCCATTTTATATATTGTTCTTGATTTATTAATATATATATATATATATATATATATATATATATATATATATATATATATATATATATATATATATGAAATATAGTTTAAAAGTGTGCTATATAAATAAGATAAAGTGCTCAATATCAGAGATAGAGTGTATGTAAATATAAATATAAAAGTGAACATTCAAGTCAACAGTCAAAGGCGACAAGCTGTTTCATGCTGGACGCAATCGTCAGGCCGCCTGACGATTGCGTCTGGCTTGAAACAGCCTATCGCCTCTGCGTGTTGATTTCAATGTTCACTCATATATATATATATATATATATATATATATATATATAAGGCTCAAAACACTAATATTCCATGGTTATAATTTATTACTATTATCCTCTTTGGAATTTATATATATATATATATATATATATATATATATATATATATATATATGTGTGTGTGTGTGTGTGTGTGTGTGTGTGTGTGTGTGTGTGTTGTTAGTGATTTTTGTATTGACTACTAATATTATCAATATATATATATATATATATATATATATATATATATATATATATATATATATATATATATATATATATATATATATTTATATTTATATATATTGGTACGTAGTGTATGTAATGCTGTGTTATATATTAGCATTTCATGATCTCGAAGGATTTCTTTTATGCCACATCCATGAGGCATTCGCGTTATTTGTTTGTGTTTGATCTCTCTTTGAATTTTTACCCTTTGGATAGGTTGATTTCACCTCTTCTTAGAATGTCTACAAGTGCCTTGCACGTTTCTTCCATGAATATTCTCGCCATGAAAACAAATAAATAAATTGTGTTATGTTCTTTCCAGAAAACATTCAATAATCTTCCTTCTGTTCCTCGCTTGCAACTCTGTTCGATTATTTTCCAATCTGAGAGACCATCCGGCGCCTTTCACGGTCATCTGATCTTGACAAAAAGCTAATCATTGGAGAATAAAATCTATATAACCAAAATTAATCATCTATCATGTTACTGTTTATTAAACGAAAAAAAAAACGATTGAAATTATTTATTTATTTATCTCTACGTATCATTCTGCGAAGGTGGCTATTGGTGATATTTGTATTCCTCTTGTGAATAGAGAATTGAAAATACGCAGATAAAATATTGTCCGAGCTCATTTCGTCTTTACAGATTCATGAAAAAAAAATTCACTTCATCGGCTTCGCAATGTCATCTACGACGAACTGGTTATGTAACGCTTGATATTATAGGATACACAGGATAACAAAGAGGATTTAACAAGCAAATATGACAATGTTCTCATTCAATCTAAATGTTATACCTTTTGAGAAAGTAAGCGGAAGGTAATATTTCCATAATTACATTTGGCGTGTATTATATATAATATTAATTCAAGAATTTAATTAATAAATACTTCTCTATGTTTTGGTATAAAAATTTACGCAAAAATTTACCGGGGCTCTGCTTAGAAATTAGAAAGAATACGTTTGCTCTTCCTCACATAAGAATTATTAATGGCCCACACTTGGTGAGTTGGGATTTGGGTGCAAGAAAGCCACGATCGTTCTGAAGGATGGAAATAAATCAAACTGCATCGTAAAATTAAGTGGGATTAACTATTTTACCACCAAAGTTTGAAATTTTCATATTTGATAAGTTTCGGGAATCAATATGCATATTTTTCACTGAAAATCACACACACACACACACACACACACACACACACACACACAACACACACACACACACACACACATATATATATATATATATATATATATATAGAGAGAGAGAGAGAGAGAGATTATTGTTACGGTTTTTTGTGTATATTATATGTAACTAGTGAGCGAGGCAAAGTGACTTAATTCCCTTTATAGTCTACCAATAGAAGATTAACCAATCAGGAGCCGCAGAACACTGGATCCGTCGTGTATAAAGGCGGCCATCTTTGTTTTCCTACCTGGATGAGCAGAGGAAACTTGTCCGGCGAACATGACAGACGGAAGAATTACGCCCTGCTACTTTGCTGCGATATCCACTGCGAACCTGCACTACACTTTCCTACTGTCTCCGAAATATTCACTGCCAACCTCTGGATTCTATACTCGAAGACGACCGTCATGAAAATGTCTAACAATTATAAATTAACAGATTTGAAATATGGTTTCTTCGCTACACATGAATTACAATGTTTCAAAAACCGAAGCTAAAAACTTCAAATTTAATTATATAATTAAATTAAAAGCATTAGTTCTGTTTCATCTTCAAGCGAATTTTGGTATAACTTATTTTTAAATTTTAAATTTGTATATATATTATATTATTATATTATTATTATTATTTTTATTTTTATTTTTATTATTATTATTATTATTATTATTATTATTATTATTAATATGTATATATATTATAATATTATTATTTAAAAATATGTATTCATCGAGACACAGAAATTACCATGTTTCGGAACCAAAACCTAAACCTTAAATTAAGCTTAAAATTAAAGTTTTTGTTCCATTCTCAAGCGACGTTGAATAACTTTAAAAAAATGATTTTTTTAGAAAGTTATTCAACATCACTTGAGAATGAAAAAACTTTAAAACAGTCGTCTGGAGGCCGCGGTTGAGTCCAATGGCGATTTTTTTTGAATAAATTTACTCTTTACTATTTCAATTTATTATTAATTATTATTATTTGTAAATTATATATATATATATATATATATATATATATATATATATATATATATGCGCGTGTGCACACACACACACACACACATACACATATATATATATATAAATATGTTAAAATGGGATGTGAATGTTATTTTCATTTTTCGTAATTTAGACAGAAATGAATTCATCGGATCCTGTATGACAAAGATCGTGCTTCGACTTGTGTATTTCAAGAGAATGGGGATTTCAGTGCAAGCAGTAAATGTAAAATGTAAGTTCTGTCATAACAAATAAAGCATTAATAATGAACAGACATAATAAATTACAAATTTTGAAGTTTTTAATCTTATTTTTTTTTACTTTTTGAACTCTTGATTTTATTTTTATAATATATATATGTGCGTGTGTGTGTGTAAAATAGATAGGTTAGTTAATAAAACGAGGACAAACGAAATGGTACCAATATAATCAGTACCATAAACATTTATTAAATCTTAATTATTAACCATGTGACAGAAATGAAGCACGGAAAGAAAGGATTTAAGTTCGGAATTTTTGGACACGCCTGTGTCCTTCATCAACGGACCGAGAAATAAACAAAGAAATGGGAATTACTCACCGACAGATATTTTTGTGGGCGGTGTATTTTCTGGTGGAAATCATTTTGTTAGCAAAAATCCGCTCTCTGTCTGATTCCTCGGTGTGCGAAACTTTCTTTCAAAATAAATTTAAATTTAAAATTATAATATATATATATATATATATATATATATATATATATATATATATATATATATATATATATACGATAGGATAGGATGAGGAGGAAATAGGAAACGTTTATAAATATTTCGCTTTCATTTAAGCTTTATCAGGAAGGAAATATGGTGGAGAAAATAAAGATATTTTTATTTTGTATGTTTTTCCTTGGTTAAGCAGGCCTCATGTGCACCACTGTTGTCAAGAATAATTCTAATTTGTTTATGCGAAATTCATATCATAATGTGTATTCGTTTTGTCTACGTTTAAGCAACTAGTAGGCATTTTCATTAATGTGTGTTGATTGTCCATATGTCATTTGGGGCTGTTTTGTGCGAGGCTGAAAGAAATTACACCGTTAGACATTTGTAAACGTTTGTACGTAGACATTTGAAAAACGTGAAGTTTGCTTAACCAATGAGAAGTTAAGGAAGAACAGAGCAAAATCATCAACTTTGGATAGTTTATCCACAATTTTGATTAGAATGTACAACAAAATGTTAGAAAATTATATTAAAAAACAGGTGTCTACTCAAACGAAGTGTATCCATTAAAATAACATTAAATTAATAAAATTATTTTATTTACAAATAAAATTCATTTATTCTTTAAAATTACATTAGTAGCACTTTTCAATCTAAGCCGGTTATTATTAATTTCACTGTTTAAAAATAAAACTGTGATATATATATATATATATATAT